ACACACACACACACACACACACACACACACACACACACACACACACACACACACACACAGGATCCAACATATACCGACTAGGCATGGGCCAATATTGACTTCTGACGATATCATAACCGTGACGAAAAATATCACCTTATCACTGTATTAAAATGACAGTGCCTAAAATGTCCTTTTTTCAACAAATACAAAAAAATTGGTACATTAAGAAACATGTAACATGTTAAGTTTAAATAAATAAATGTTAACATTGTTCTTCTGTTTTAATTCAATTTAGTAAGACATAGTAAGTCCCATCACTGGTGAGCTATTTTTCGAACAGACCTGTGGGCTACTCATCTTGTCCTTTGGGCACCATGTTGTTGTTGATTTTTTCAGGACAACGCACGTGAATGAACAAAGAAAAAAGACATGTATGTTGGAGTTTGCATTCGGAGCTTTCACATTAGCCCCGCTCCACATCAACAAGGCCTCGTTTGGCCCCGGATGTTCTCTTTATCCATTCGACTTTTTCGGGGCCAAGCGGTTGCAAAGGAGCCAGTTTTCAGAACCATCTTGAAGATTGTTCTAAGGCGTCGGCTCTCTGCGGCCGTGTCATCACTGTTATCTGATTGGCCGACAGTGATGCAGCAAGGAACTCTGCTTCCACATGCCAATTTCCTGATTTTAGACGAGCAAGACAGAGCCGCCCGCCAAAGTCATAAAAATACAGTAATATACATAATAGTGTTTTTCAACAACGGTGAATCATACTGACAATGCCATATGTACAAATGAATGAAGCTTGGGTAAATTTTTTTATGATTGCATGAACTGCTGGCCAGGTCCCAATCGCTTCTCCAGCCACAGCCAGGAGCCTTGCCGCCCCTGGCTTAACAGTCGTACCTTCAGCCTCGCGGAAGACGGCTTTAGGCGACCGCTGGAGGGCTTCGGGCGCAAGAGAGTGAGGACGACGAGCCACTGTCACGGAGAGGTGGCCAAATGAATGAGACTGAGCTCTCCATTCAGAATAAATGAGTGCAGGTGGCGAGCTTTGCGTGCCGCTTGCAAAATCCCAATCGCACTGTTTCATCTGCACGACTGTCTTGTGTCCTATGTGTTGTGTTGTGTTATTTTTGTTATTTTGACTTCAAAATGGCGCCGCGAGAGTGGCTGCCTTTCCAGCAGCTCCTATATTTTGTTGTTCTACTTCTTCCTTTCATAACTTTGCTGCTGTGAATTGGGAATTTCTCCATTGCGAGACTAATAAAGGTTTTCTTATCTTATCTTATCTTATCTTAAAACACAAAATACCATACTTTCCGCACTAAAAGGCGCACCTAAAACACTTCCATTTTCTTCAAAGCTCACAGCGTGCCGGAAATTCCGATGCGCCTTGTGTATGGTCATTAGAGTAATATTTCGAGACCTTGCTAGAGACATGCTTACAACGCAGAGTTCAGACTTAAGACGATCGGGTTACGCAGTTCAACACGGAAATAGAGCAGCGGCAAGAAAGTTCAACGTTAACAAGTCAATGTTATAACGTGCTTTTGGTTCAGTGAACTGTGTCGCTGCTCTATTAAATACGTTTTCCTGACATCTGATCATTCTGTTGGCATTTCCTTGAGTGTAGTGGATGCATTGTAGATTGCGTCTTATAATGGGGTGCGCCCAATGTATGAAAAAAAAAATCAAAAATAGGCCATTCATTGAAGGTGCGCCTCATAACCCAGTGCGCCTTTTAGTGTGGAAAATACGTCTAAGTATGTGTAACTGCATAAACTGTATATTTTGCTTGAAAGTGGGCGGGCAGCGGGCGTATGGCTAGAAAAGTAGGTGTCATGATGAAGTAAAGGATTGTTTCATCAAATCAAATCAGTCCAAGACGCAGTAGTAAATAAAGAGCTCACCTGGATGACTGGCTCCTGAGGGTCGTAGCCGCTGGTGTACTCAGTGTTCCTGCACCAGTCCTGCACATCAATCTCTGGCATCCCTGACAGGAGGAGCTCCTGCACACAAGCACAACATGCGGTGAGGGAAATTTATTTTACACGGTGATTAGTTGCTCGTACGGAACGTATCATCGCCAGTAATATGTCACAGCCATCTATGTATTTATGGAGCAATTCAGCATTCACTATCAGAGGTTTGTGAATCATCAAAAATAAGCTGTACATCTGATCCGGCTGTGCTGTTCACACAAGCAACAATAAGGCGCAGCTATGCCGTTCAGGCTTTGTGCCGCAAACAGCAGCAACACAAAACAATATTAAGATTATTAATATGAGAAAGCACACAAGAACCGCAGGCCAAAGCAGAGGCCCGTCGCTGTGTGTCCATGTGATGCTATGCTCATGCTGCAGGACAGCTTCATATGCACAGAGCGGAACATATTCCGAGAATCTGCTCTGAGAGAAGGAGAGGTGGATGAATATACTTCACATGTTCTCAACTTTTTCTTTCAGTAAATATGGAGTGTTACAAACACCAAGACTGACATCAGTCCAATCAGAAACCCTGAATGAACGCAGAGGTATAATCTCTTCTGAAAGCCGGGGTTACCGCATTTTGGTCAAATGAAGAAACTGCTCTCAGACCAGCCAGGAAGCAGCTGACTGCAGGCATCAGGTAGTCCATCCATCCATCCATCCACATCTAAACCGCCAATCCTCATGAAAGTCGCAGGCGTGCTGCAGCCTATCCCAGCTGGCTTTGAGCAGCGTGTGGCTACACCCTGAAATGGTTGGCAGCCAACTGCAGTGTTTGGCAAATCGGGGGTGGCAGGGCTCAGTGGTAGAGTGGTCGTTTCCCAACCCAGAGGTTGGTGGTTTGATCCCTGGCCATTGCGACCATGTCAAAGTGTCATTGAGCAAGATACTGAACTCCCAGTTGCTCCTGATGCTTTGTCGTCAGTAGGTGAATGAGGTAACAGTGTGAAGCTCTTTGAGTACCCGAGGTAGAAAAGCGCTCGACAAGTGACAACCCATTTACCATTTAGCAAATAAAAATCCATCACATGATATTATGCTCTCGCCTGACCAATAATCCCTCTCGCACCATCTGGCATACGTGACCCAAACGGCTAGTAATTGTCCACAAAATATTCAAATTTGACCAAGATTTAACAGATATATTATTTTAAACAGCTTGTAGATTGGTAGGTGTCGTGAAATGAAGAAGCTACAACAAATAAACTGCAGTATCTGCGTGTGTTCATGGTCGTGACCCTACGACAAAAATATTCGGGAATGGATATATATCAACACATTGCATTTTGTCGTTTGCAATCGGAATTCATCAAATGCAGAATAAGACCTTGTTTCAAACTGACTTATGTCAGTAGCATTCAGGGTAGCCATGAATAATTTTGTGCTGTGGAAATATAAAACAGGTTTTACAGTCAATACTTTGAAGAGGAGAAATGACAGCGTGACCGAGGTGTGTCTAACAAACGCAGGGTGGAATAATACAATTGATCCATCTGCGAGTGGGAACACTAAATCTGCCGACACACAAACATCTGATAGAGCTAAATAAGGAGGAGGGGCTTCAAGGTGACCTCAGTCTCCTGTTTCCACCCCCAAGCTAGGCATGGCTAATCAGTCCCTACATCAGAGGCAGGTGGAACAAGCCGGCAAAGCAAAGGGGTTCGAACAAGCAGAATGTCAACTGTAACAGATGAGCAGAATAGAAAAAAGAGGCAAGGACAACCACTTACCAATTCGTATTCATCAAAAAGCTGAATTAGCGAGGGCGGGATGAAAGTGTGGAATCCTTGCAAGAAGGCGTTTATCTGAGGCTGGATGGCCCGTGTCATTCTCAGCTCAGTCACCAGCTGGACATACTCAGCCTGGCATGCACGCACATACAGATAGACACGCACATACAAAGATTAAAGTCTTTGGGAAATGTACATAGACAGGTGAAAGACACAAGGCTCATTGTTACCCTGTACTTTCCACAGCTCATACTTTATAGTACAGTGCCATCAAGAGAAAGAAAAAGGTACTGCCCATGTACCCAACTCCCATTGGAACTTCACACAGTCTTTGATCATCACCTCCAAGTTTCATTCTTATAGCCCGATTTTATTATAAAAATGATGTATTCAAGTGTTCATGAACTATAACAAAGAACACCAACATTGACAAAAGACCTCCTTCAAAACATTTGCATGTGATTATTTGATAGAAGACTAAGTTGGACAAATCTTGAATTCTTTATCTCAAATCCTTTATGAAAACTCAAACACTGAAAACAAACACAATACCTCACATACATCATATAATTAGAGTTATACCCAACTGCATAAATTATGAATGGCTGAATTCCCTTTTCCTCCTCAAAGCTTTAAAAAAAAAAAAAAAAAAATCAACGGTTTCTCTCATTTAGCATTTTTATGTAATTTATTTGGTGGTGGGCTAAAAACAAATAAACAAAAATCGCGGTTATATTAACAACTGTCCTGCCACTTGCCCATAGAGTCCAGCCTGGTGAAAACGAATATACAATATCGGTAACTGCCAAAATACAAATTCCTTGTCTTATGAAGAAAATGTTGCTTTTGGTGTGCAGACTGGTTAACTATTGTTTGTGTATGTGGTTAATCACTGTACCTTATTGTCCTGAGTCACAACAATGCTTATGCCTCCTGGTTTGAGTGGAACTTCCTCCATGGCACCGAACACGTCTGTTTCCACAGAAAAGGTGAGCTCCAGACCCAGATCACTGATGTCATTGTCCAAGATCCACTGCAGGTTCTTTGCATACTCGGGATCAATGGAAGATACATCCTGGTAGTTCACTGGGATTCCTGAAACAGCCAAATGCACACATGCCCCAAAATATAAGTCACATAAGCAGTCATTTAAGCAAAGCTAGACATTTGTAAGACTTCAACCCCTGCAAAAATGGTGGAGAATTTTGTTATCGTTTTATTGGTATGAGATGGACTGGAGGGAATTCGGTTCTGTCCAGTAGCTTGTAGTCACAGGCATTCCCTGACAATATCAACTGCCTCAGGAGTGCGGGACATCAACAGGGAGGTGAAGTCTAATGATAGCATCTGGTTTCATCTGGAGATAGCCTAAGGTTGTACTCACACGAGGCGATTTGAACCGTACAGGGATTAAGATCCCCCCCTCCACCCCCAACCCCGACACATACACACAAACACACTTCACAACAGATTAAACTTTGTGGTTGATTTGAAATGAGCAAACCAATGCGGAGAAATCCTGCAATCCTAAAAGTCTGATGGACTACAGATATTTTTATGTTCATACTGTAGAAATTGTTTTACCCAGGATGTGTTTGTAGAAGGAACGGGTGAAATAGATATTAACCAGCTGCCTGTGATACAGAGCCAAACCCAAGATCTGGCCAGCAAACCGGAAGTAGTTCAGGTGGTCTGGGTTTACTGATGAGTTACTGTTGGGCTGGAAAGTGGTACCTGTAACAAAACAAGCACAAAAATATACTCCGTCATTCAGCCCAAAAACTGTCTCATTGTGTGCATTGTCATTCGGAACAGGGTGTACCATCAGCTGACTGAGTGAAGAGAGCGTAGTCTGGATTGATGATCTCATTGGACAGGATGTCAAACCATTCCCGAACAACACCCTGACCCTGTAAAATAGACAAGACAAAATAGACAAGACAGATCTCTCGCCATGCGGCATCAGTGTTGATTAATCGATTTAGAACGTCAATCATTTTTTTTCTTGCTCAAACAAAAACCAAAAAAATATGAATGCCACCATCTAAAAACCCACCATCCCCTCCTCGCCATGAAATCGGACAGCAATCCCTTGTTTCAGTTTCTCGTTGGTAGACTTGGAAACCATCTCACAGCTGCTCCGAAATATTGAGTCTGCTTGCAGGATTCCAAAAAGGATTTGACAAGAAATGGAAAAATAGGGGAAATACACACGTCAGGCAATTACTGAAGCCTAACAAGAACATAAACAAAAATTCTACTTTCATAACATTTCTAGTAATTTGCCTCTCTTCGAGGGTAAAAATGATTAGAGAAACACATCAGTGTGATGCAGAGCAGTTCTACACCAAATTCAAACCACAAGAATCAAAGAATCAACCAAAAGTGAGCTTTATCTTTATAATGGCAGAATTTTTAAAACTCTTGAATTAAATTTGTGAATGTTTTCTCAATGTTGTGGCCGGAACAGATAAGTCCAAAAGCAACACATTTTCCTTTTGTTGGGATGTTTCTTCCAAAAAGATTTCTGGCCTGTGTACCTCGATGGATGAGAAGGATATCACTCTCATTGACCGGACGATGAACCATGTCCGAGTCTGGCTGTCCGGCCAGAAGATGCTCGTAGAACCACTCACAGCGATCCTTGAATGGCTGCAGTAAAGACAAAAAAAAAAACAAAAACAACAAATCACAGAGCAACTTCACCTGTTAAATGTATTTCCACTTCGAATTGTTTTCAGGATCTAAGACTCTAAACCTTTAGTTTCAACCAAAAGCCTAAAAGGACTTCATTGGGGAAATACTCCTCCGTAATGCAGTGTTGAAGCTGAGCATTATTTGCATAATGTGTGCCTTTGTTCTCTAAGTGGGAGAGGTAGAGCGAAGGGAAAGCATTGCAGCGAGAGTGGCATTTCCTCTTGGGCTGTGAGGCGTACCGAAAGAGGAATCGGGTGAAATCAAATTATCAGGTTCAAGTCAGTAATTAAAACATAGGCCTGTTCCCAGGTGACTCATAATCCATACCTAACAAGGACTGAACACTGCAGCTCAAATATGAATACTGACAAGCAAGTAAACAACATTTTTTTGTAATTTAAACAGCCACATATATAGAACTTGAGCATAGTGTTATTAACATGGATATCAATTTCAAATACTCGTTTAAAACAGCAACACAGTTCTTAGATATATGTTATAAATGTAATTCCGTCAAGCGATTACATTTTTCAAACAGATTAATTGCAATGGCTTCCATAATCGGTAACGATAAATCACATTTTTCTACTTCTACTGCAGTATTTTCTTACGAAGCTCCGATCAGACATTTACTTGAATAAAATCTTGGAATAAATGTCAAATAGAAACTACTATATTTAAATTCAAAGAGTGTTCTTATTTCCTTCGTCCTTGAATACAATATTTCTCTACTAAACACTTTAAATCAGTGGTCTCCAAAGACTTAATACGAGTCGATGCGTTCAGCTAACAGCTATTGCCTACGGTCCTTGATTTTGCACTACGTGGGTACACCAATATACGCCTCGCCCGCCAGAACTTGAAAGAGAACCATGGCAACTGGCACCTGATACCCGTTTCGGGAACCAGAAGTGACAGCGAGACCCAAGTGTACAAAGTGTCTCCAAGGCAAGATCTCTGGTGCAAAGAGAGACTTATTACATAACTTTGACTTTTAGTGCAGAGGTACCGGGTTCGATACCAGCTCCGGCCTTCCTGTGTGGAGTTTGCATGTTCTCCCCGTGCCTGCGTGGGTTTTCTCCGGGTACTCCGGTTTCCTCCCACATTCCAAAATCATGCATGACAGGCTACTTGAACACTCCAAAACAATTGTCCCTAGGTGTGAGTGTGAGCGCGGATGGTTGTTTGTCGCTGTGCGCCCTGCAATTGCCTGGCAACCGGTTTAGGGTGTACCCCGCCTATTGCCCGAAGACAGCTGGGATAGGCTCCAGCACGCCCCACGACCCTTGTGCGGATAAAGCGGATCAGAAAATGGATGAATGGATGGATGCTTTGTTAAGCCAATGTACCGTATTTTCCGCACTATAAGGCACTTCGGAGTATAAGGTGCACCTTCAATGAATGGCCTATTTTAAAACTGTTTTCATATATAGGCCGCACTGCATTATAAGGTGCATAGAATAGAAGCTATAGTAGTGGCTGCTGTTGCGTTATGTATCCACTAGATGGAGCTACGGTAAGGGAATACAATACAATACAACTTTATTTATATCAGAATCATCAGAATCAGAATCATCTTTATTGGCCAAGTATGTAGAACACACAAGGAATCTGTCTCCGGGAGAACACGCTGCATTAGTATCATCATAATATACAGCGATTCGACAACCGCTGCAGCTGTAACAAAGCACTTTACAGAACATTTAAAATACTCTGTCCAAGAAATCACAATATTGATCCAGATATGAAGCGCATCGGATTATAAGGCGTACTGTCGGCTTTTGAGAAAATTGAATGCACCTTATAGTGTGGAAAATACGGTACCTGTTTTACATTTGAAAAATCGAATTGCTTACCAGCAATTTTTTTTTGAAAAGTATGAATACTGAAATGATACACAGGCTGATTGTACAAACCCCAGTTCCAATAAAGTTGAGATGTTGTGTTAAAACATAAATAAAAATAAAATCCAATGATTTGCAAATCATGTTCAACCTATATTAAATTGAATAAGTAAAGATGTCTGTTAATTGTGTCTTTCTTACCTGGCCCTTAATGATATGCATGAACCGTGACATCAGTTCTGGACATTCCAGCAGGAAGTGGAAGTGGTTAAAGATTATCTTTGGATTTCTATGAAGTGGAAGCAGACATGAGCAAAGACAGAAATAAGATGTGAACAATGGGCAAAAGGACAATAGCTTAAGTAAAACGATTGACATTCTTTTTTTGGTCCTTAAATCAACGATAAAGAGTCTGATGTATGACTTGGTCTACATTGACTCACCTGTTTACAAAACATTTCAGCACCTCATCATGCTTGCAGACAAACTCAATAAAGTGGGGGGATGTCATTCTGGGTGAGGAAAGAGAACAAATGATGAGTGAAAAAGGGGAGCGAAATGGACAGCAGCAACAATTCTGTGGCAGCCTCTGCTTTCCAATTAGAGATATATTACTCATCTGAAACAGCCAAATGTCTACACTGAATATGATGCATTGCCATTGCAGACAAAACTAGACCAGACTCCTAATCAAGAGCAGGGTGAAAAACACATCAAAGACAGGAAGACAAGCATCTTATTCCGGCAGGCATGTCAATACTGGAATTCCATCGGCTGTTAATTAAGTATACGTAATGATCTAATGGAGCGTAATTACAGACTGGGGGAGAGTTTAATGTCATAATGTGTGGAGGTAAACAAGGACATAGATAAGACAACTCAAACAGAGGGCAAGGGGAGGGGAAAAAAATATTCCAAGTACTGAGAGGATTCAAAGATGCAGTTGTGCCCTCTCATAATACCAATAGAGTATCAATGGTAGTTTACCAAATACAATCTTCAAACTGTCCATCATATGATTGTTACAATCCCCTAAGAGGCCTACTGCTTCACATTTAATTTTAAAGACCACAACAACACTCCACTAACTCCTTATATCGTGAAAACTGTCCAGTCTTTACATCACGAGTTCACCATCCCCTGTGGCAAAGCAGTGAATATTCAGTCACTGTTGGAGGTTAGCTCCTTCCAATAAAAATAACGGAAAAGCTACTCTTCATTAGCATTTTGAAATGGGATGAAATCATTCTGCATAAATTAGTTAAGACTCCAGTTCAGAGATTCATTGTTGCTGAACAGGATCATTTACAACAAAATAAACGCCTGCATTGTGGTCTTAATACGCTTCAAAACCGCCCCATGAGTTGTGTTTGTCAGTCACAGTTCTTTTATCTGTATTCTCTGTGCATGCACAATTTGCATTGTTGTATTAACATATCATCACTGACAACTATTGATCATTTATTTTCGCACTTGCCAAACCGTCTGTGTTTCCTCTCCATCTCTCTCTCTCTCTCTCTCCTTTGTCACTCTCATCTCAACCTTTTGTGGCAGATGGATGCCCTACAATCTTTTGTTCGGGTTCTGTTCAGGATTCTATGTCCTTGCTTTTGTTTCAAAAGTGCTTGCTCGTGAGACGTTCAGTAGGCTTTCTTTGGTTCCGGTCTTGTCCCATACGGAAAATGACTTAAGGTCACTTTTGAGCAATGTTGAGCTGTCAGAGCGAGCAAAACCTCTGCTCGCCTAAACATCGCGCACTGTTGGCAAGAGGTGAAAAAGTGGTGTCCACTGCTGTATTTAAATTTTTTGCGTGATAATTGTTTTCACCAGTGAACATTTGGGAGAGCCCTGAAAAGGCAAATTGAAGTTTGAAGTGTTGGAATTGTGTTAGTGAAAGACAAACTAAGTCACGTTGATCATTTTGAAGAAACCATGCCTCCACATAAAATCCCCACGCTTTGTTTGATTTAACTCGCCATGAGTACTTGTGCATTGGATGTGTCTGCCGAACTCGGAGTTACCATTGCACTTAAAACTTGGGACTCCACATCCGAAAAACTGCTGTGGGAGTGGCCAGCACTTCGTCACGGTGCACTGAAATCAGATGGCCCGGATGCAAGGAAATTCAGTTGGGAAGAGTTTCTTCAGGTGATATAGCAGGGCGTCTTTTTGTGACTGGCTACAAGTCAGCCGTTTGATAAGTCATAGCTCAATAAATATATGTAATTTTAGCTTGCAGTATTAAAAAAAAAAAAAAATAGATTTACACGAGCGGAAGGGTTCTCCACACTGCCTCTTATTTTGCCTGTGGTACGCTGGCACCGCTGTTACATGCCGGTAGGAGCCTGTGCCTTTCAGATGTCGTATTTGAAGGCAAAAATTCCGGTTTGATTATCACATCACATAAGTTTAACGAATCAATTTGCATACACCCCATTACGTAATCCGCAAAATGAAGAGCATGGCAATACTGCTGGTTTGGCAGAGGCAATCTTGGGTTCACTCAGTACATCAAGTTCCGTATCTGTTGAAAACGTTTTGGAAACAGTGTTTAATTTATAGTGGTTGATGAGTATTGCAGGTGTTTGTTGTTATGCTGTGGACCAAAGTGTGTCCCCTATGTCAGACTGGGGCTTTCACCTTTACCTTGCGTAATTCTGTACCACTACAAGTCCCCTACAGTAAAAGCCATGCCTTCTCTGTCGATTGGTAGTCATTGCAGGAGACAAACCCTTGTGGCATCTGGCAAGAGCAGCACATGTAGAAGGCCTGGATCACAGCGCTGAGCCGATTGGCGGTCATGGAGATAACGTCTTCCCCATCAGCATACACTTCTGTTTCCATGACAATCTGAGGGTCCAGGGAGGTGGGGAGCTTTGGTGTGGTGCTAGAGTGATCAACTTCCCGCTGCTTTAGAAGCAGGGAGGCTATCTCACTGTTGGAAGAGCTGGATGAGGGATTCCTGTTTCTTTCTAGTTCGGTGGAGATCAGTACGAGCCACTCATCCAGGGAGTGCCAAAGCAGCTCCAATGGCTGTAAACACAAACAAAATGTGAGAGGTGAATGGGATCAACCAAAAAAAAAAAGCACAGGGAATGTTTCATGACAATATTATAAAAGAGGAACTGATTTTGCCTTCAGGGTATCTTCAGGTATCACAGCTGAATTCTAACCTTGAGTTCATTTTTCATAATATCTGAATTGAGAGCATTTCAAAGGAAGCTCTTTCTCCATTAAAGACCAGTGCTAAAACATTTTCAATACTAACAAGGTCCTGAAGATTACCTGTCATGCAGCACCACCCCACACATTTTAAAATCAAGATTTTTGCAAATAAACAGGGGAAAAGACAAAAAAAAATCACATTTATTCCTAATGTTGTGAACATTTGTAATCATACTCAAAATGAACACAAAGTCAATGTTGCTCTTTTGGTTTCATTTAATCCAGGGCAGTACGACTGAATAACAACACACTGTTACTCTACTAGACGTCTTATTTATTTTTGTTTGTTTTCAATGCATGTTAACATGTATCTATAAATTCTTATATCAGGGATACTTAAAGCGAGACAAAACACCAATGCGTTTTAGCAATGCTTGAAACATGTTGCGTCAATTAGGCTGCAATGAATAGTACTAATATAACGGGAGTGTATAATTCCCAATGAAACAGCGCATGATTACAACTGAGGAGAGAGAGGCTCAAAATGTCAACTAGAAGACATACCGCTGACATGGAACATGGATGTGATTTTTGACACCAGCATGTGCAAGCATCTTGGAGTGCCAAAAAGGAAACAAGACTGTGGCAACCATACTCAGTGCCAATTGGCTGTTTATGTATTGTGCAACATTTTGGGACTATTAACATCATGCTAGATTTAACTCAGCTCATATACTATAATAATAAAAAAAAAAAAAAACAACAACAAAAATAACCCATGTCTGAACTACACATTAGCATTCATATACATGTAAATAATGCTTAAAATAATTACATTTGGATTGCTCCTTTGACCTTTCATTAAAAAAAAAAATAAAATTGTAAATTTCATTCATTCTATTTCCGATCCTGATGAAAACTAGTAATTATGTCATTTGAGTGTAACGGTGTACAATGAGAGTACACCTCCCAAAAAATATTTATATATTTTTTAACTACATTTTTTTTTTAACTGTCAATTTGTGTGAGTGTGTTTGTGTCTATAAATATTATGCAAGGTTTGCACACACGTGCCTAATGGTGTCTGTTAGTATCTTCACATGGAGAAGATATCAGTGCTGGCACCAGAGACAGCCAAACCAAAGTTCTGACATTAGGTCACCAACATAACGTCCATGCGGCATCGAATATGTTTTTATTTTTACCGTAACAAATTTTGACCCAAATGAGGACTGAAAACTGACACTTGACTGATTATCATTTAGTTTGAACTCTATTTGTTGTCCACTCAATATGCACCTGCCATTCACCTACAAACCTTGATTTGAGAACAATAAATGAATACATGATGAATGACTGTTGTGTTACTGGCTACAATGCATTTTGTGCAATCATTCTGTGCAGAAATGCCGAAACACATGAGACACTAAACGCTGAACATTTCCAGAACATTAATGTTTCATCTGGTGAATCCAAAACTCTGATCACAACTGTATTGAGCAGTCAATAAAATCCAATGCACGCGACTCCTCGAATTGCCGTCAATGAGTATCGTGGGTTCAATCTGGCCATTATTGTGCCGTTACACTGTACAAGATCACTGTGATCAGTTAATCCAAAGACTGATGGATGTAGATGTTGAACTGAAGCAAATTGCACATTCAAAAAAACGGAGGTTGACTCTCATATTTCGTTAAATGGATACTTCATTAAATATAACGTTTTTCATAATGTACCGGGAGTTGCTTTGCAATTGTATGTGGATAGCATTAAAACAAAGGGGATACAGATTGTGATTTACAGTTATTAAGCTTTGATTTGAACTGTTTGGCCTACTTGACCTCAAATTATGCTCTATGTTACCTCTGAGGTACAAAGACTTTGGACACCACTGGATTATAAAATGTACATGGATACTTCCTGATATGTTTCTTCACATGTGCGGTAAGGTGCTGTGAAGTTGACAGCTTTGCAACGCCACAAAACCTTCACAAGTAATTTTTTCGGAGGATCTTTGAACGCTATTTTAATTCTTAATCAGATAGAGTTGTGAATAGAATCAAGCAATCATACAAATCAAGGAAGACAAAGCTTTGGGTTAGGCGATAGGACAACATTTAGTGGAATTTGAGATTTGTTTCATATTGGTTTTTTGATTCTTGACTGATGGCTTGCAGTTTTATTTCAATTCAGAATAATGCTGAATGATTATACTTGAGCTAGTACTGTAAAAAGATAAAATATGGACCTTATTGCCTAATCCAAATCTTATTTTCAAATGGTTGTATTTGAAAATAATCAATGCAAGAGAAAAGAGGTTAAATCAAAAAGCCCAGTTCATTGATTGTATGAAATGAAAACTTCTGATTAGGGTCCATTCATAAAACGATTAAATAAAAATGAAGGAAATGGAAATGTCCATGGCTCACATCTAATATAGCAGAAGCTGTCCAAGTGTCTTTTGGTACAGCCTCCCCTGGTCTCATACGCATCTGCAACCAGCAGTAAAATGCAACCAGATGACAGTTATTGGAGGATATTGATGCATAATGTATAAAACATGAAAAATTTGTTATTATTAGTAATGTAATAATAAATATATTGGATGCTCAAATGTTTGCTTCCGTCTGACAATGGCCTCTGGCATACAGTTTAATCAAGCGTTGAGTATCTGAATGCGGATAATATTACCCTAACTACAGTATTTGTGAAGCCAGTATAATTCTAAAATGGATATATATATATATATATATATATGTGTGTGTGTATATGTATATATACATATATATGCAGGGGCGCACAAAATTGTGGTGTGGTTTTCAAATGGGATGCTAGTTGGTGGTTTATATATATATATATGTATGTGTTTTGTGAACAACTTATTAAGCAACCAGTTAACATCAGTAACATGCCTCCAGCCTATGATATGTACTCTGCTGAGTTCTGATCAACTTTTTTTTTAACAAGAAACTGTGGATCATTCATAATCACAGTATGTACAGTTATTGTCAAACTTGTAATATAAATAAGGAACAATATACTCTTCGATTAAAAATGGCAACATTTTATCTGCAGGTTGTTATAGATTCCCAAACACAATCATTTGGTCCTCTTACATCAAAATTCGATTTTTCAAGTGTTCTTGGAGGTACGCAATAAGTCATCTTTCGCCGTCCTCAGTATGAACATGCTTTGCTACTTGGCAATGAGGGTTTGCCAAATGAAAGTGCTTTACTGCCATCTCTCGGTCACAAGTATACTGATGCGCACAGGCACACATGCACGCGCGCACGTGCGCGCACGCGCACACACACACACACACACACACACACACACACACACACACACACACACACACACACACACACACACACACACAGTGGCCTTGAAGCAGCATGTCTGTGATAGCGGGCATAAATTTAGGACATGGAACACTTTACAGATTACAGTACACTGCACCACCAGTACAAGGCACCAACCAACCTTAAAGACCTGACTACGGGGAGTCTTGTTGCCGTTGTAGCCCATATCATTGCCATTATTGGGTGACGAAGGCCCCAGGCGGAATACATGGCAGAAAATGCGAACAATCCTCAACAGACTTTTCATCTGAGCATCATAGCTGCTGGATAGGCTGTGGGAGGAAGGAGGTAGGATGATAGCATGATAATTTGCTGTTTACGTAATGCCTCAATGAGTGGTCAAAAGCATTCATTTACTCATTTGTAAAGAGTGCCAATTATTTACTTGGAAAAGGTGTTTATCTGAAAGGGTGCCTGTATGAGTGCAGATGCTTGTGCAGGCATGAAACCAGGTATGCTGCTCTCTAGATTACTATGGGATTGGAATCTGTATTGCATTAACCCTTTCTATGCAGGTATCTTATTATTCTACAAATAATTGTAACCCTACATGTTGTTTCTGCAAATGCGAGGGCTCCAATTACACTACCTCAATTCCATATTTTTAATTGCTACGGTGCCGTATAAGGACGAAGCTGATTCTGTGGGTTATACAAAAAGTTTGGTTTGCATGTGTGTCCCATCTTTTCATAGGCACACGCAACTCTTTTTCTCATTTATTAATGAACCGCGGCAGTGTATAATAGTCGCACCAATAACAGCCATGGAGCATTAATGCTAGCCGGTGTGAACATGCGCATTTGCTTATTGCTTGCTTTTGTACCACTGGTTCTGCAAACATTCATTACGCTCACCAGGAAATAAAAGAGAATGGCGACCGGCAGTACCTATCTGATTCGAGTGTCAGAATTGACAGCGGGGCCAGCGTAACTTGTCTGTATCTCTCCAATGCTTGCAGGTCAAGAGAGCGTTAAACACGTTAGTTTATGTGCATTATATAAGATTCATTAATTGGGGCTTTGATTTAGGTGAATGTTAATGAGATCAGTTGGAAAACAACAATTGCTGAGCCAAGGTATGTATTTTTCATCACAAAAACTCACGGTTAGCCAGTAAACAAAAACATCATAAAGTATGAAGACTGTACTGAAACAATGATCTTGTCTCCTCTCATTTTAGTCACAAATGCACTGAAATGCACTTCAAAAGGACGTACTTCAATTACCTTTGTTCTAAAATAATCACTACATTAGTGCCTTAAAAAAAATAACGGTACTAACATTTATCGTGCTACTGTCTGTGAATATATAATCAGAAAAAAATTGTCATCATGACAGTCCAAGTTTGTTGTATGTATTATGAATTGAATGATGGTATGAAAAGCAGTGAACTTCACGTGGTTTACACTACAAGGAACTATTCCCGCAATCGCCATCAACCACATTAGTGCGGTAAAAAAGGAGAAATGACTGGCAAATCACATGCTGTATTGCTGCGATGACGTCACACGATTTCCAGAACTCACGGACATATTAGCGTGGTACGGACCCACATGAAGCGGAAAACGCAAACCAGAGTGTGCGTATCAATTAGGGTACACTTGACTCATGGAAAACTGTACCACCAAGTGAAAATGTGGCTATAAAGGTATTTGTTAATTTTATGTTGTTTTTTTTGTGTCTGTTTTTTTATGCTTTGGGTAAAAAAAAAAAAAAAGAGCTATTTGGTGGTGTCATTTGTTTAAGTGGATGCTCTGGAATCAACTGAGACATCTAGTAAAGGACATTAGTTGAAGAGGCATTTTACTGTCTGCATTTGTAAAATAATCAGAATATACAGGTATTTAATTTTGTTCAAAAGTAGCAAAGCTATTGACTTAGATGACTTTAAAATCCTACCTGAGCAGCTTATGTCCATTAGTGGTGGCAACTTCAGCCAGACTAGTCAAGATTCTCTGATAATTACTGTCACTCTGCTGAGACACATGCTCCAAAACCTGCCTGAGCTACACACACACACACACACACACACACACACACACACACACACACACACACACACACACACACACACACATATCTTTTAACATGTACTCGGGAAGAATGATGAATGAAAGAATTCCCCAGTCCCAAATTTATCAAACCATATTCTCTTTTATGTCATCATTCTGTGTCATCTGAATGAGGATCTGGAAGAGTCTGCTGTGGTGCTGAATGAGGATTTCACAGGTCTCCCCGTATCCGCCCTTCCAAAAAAAAAAAAAAAAAAAAATGTACAAACAGTCGCAGAAACTGAACAGAGCCAGGGAAATTGGGAACTGGGTAAGTTGCAATGCTAACCTGCACGCACAAATCGAGAGGAGTGATTCCATTCTTGTCAGCAAGGTATTTGGCTCCACGAGAAAGCAGGATCTGTGCTGTGTCTCTTTGGCCATGACTGCAGAGTTGTTTGAGTATAAAGGTTAGTGTACTCACCAAAACTGAAATGCTTCTTTTTTTCACAGGAGGATTTTAATTGAAGATAATATTTCTATCAGTGCATATACATAACATGAACATGAATTGACTGTTGGCAAACCTGCAGGCAAAGTAAAGCGGTGTGGCCCCTGAGACGTTTGGTCGGTTGATGTTAGCTCCACTGTCCAGGAGGCATAACACCGTCTGACAGGACATGACACACATTGGTCATACTTGGGGAATTTGGGAGAAGGGTAGAACTGAAATATTGCCATGTGAGCTGGGAAGAAAATATATATATGGGGAGGATCAAAATTTGATTATTTTTTTTAAAGTCACTCACCCTGATTCGCAGGCTGCTGAATTACAATTGCCAATTTGGGTGCAGATCTGTGTATACGGTTTATGCAACGGCACATCACTAATCACCGTCATGACGGGGCCAAATTCATAATGGTTTGCTCATAAACACATATTCAGAAATAGGAATCTCACTAAAGATGTACTCAGTTGTGTCATTTCACACTTAATGGATGGGTAGGCACTCAAAAAAATTGTATTGAAACAATTAGAATTTCCATAATATGCACCCTATGAAAACTAAGGCATATAAAATAATGCTATCAGAAACATTTCAAACTTGAAAATGGCTTACAGTTTTGTGCCCATTCTGACATGCTACATGCAATGCAGTTTGCCCCATGGCATCTTCAACATCGACGTTGGACACATGCTGGACAAGATCGTACAGCAGCTCAGTCCGCCCATTCACTGCCAACCAATGAATCTAAATCAGAAAGGCACACAAACAGACAGACAGTGAGAGAGATCTGACGACTAGTGAGTAGATAAAATAAAACAACTTCAGTGACCGCATTTTCTACACAATAAGGAGCACCTAAAAGCATTCAATTTTCCCAAAAGCCGATGCGCGCTATAATCCAATGCGCCTTATATATGGTGTTCGGTACAATCTCTCTATAGTCCCCATTGAGTTGTTTCCCAGTTAATGTTCTTATGCCACCTAGTGGTGATTATTAGCAGGAAACAATTGTAACCTAATCAGGGTTCTGCCCAACACTAATTGACATGTGCATTCGCGAACATACTCAAACAGGCAACTACTTTGAAGAAGATAATACCAAAACCATAGTTAATTACTGACGTAACGAAGGAAGAAGGAGACAAGCAAGACTTCTAAGGATATTTAGCCCCTTGTGGATGTGAGCCCACGAGGTTCGTGTGCCCTTTTGTTTAATCAATTGTCTTCATAACTTTTGTCTTTTATTTATTGTTTTGTAATGCCATTTGTATTTATGTTTCATGTCTGTGTTTGTGACTAGTTTTATGGCTTTATTACAGCTGCAGCGGTTGTGAAGGCTATCTGTGAATAAAGCTGTATTGTATTGTACTGTTTTGCCTTTAGCGTAGCTCTATCTAGTGGATGCATAGCGCAACTGCAGCCATTATTGTAGCTTCTATTCTATGCACCGTATAATGCACTGTGCACTATAATTGAAAAAGTTTTGAAATAGGCCATTCATTGAAGGTGCGCCTTACAATCAAAAGACCCTTATAATGCAGAAAATACGGTCATTAAATAACAGCAATGATTACTCGGATTTTGATATAAACCAGATGACTTTTGGTCACTCACAGCAGTCAGTCCCTCATTGTTGCAGATGTTGACGTCAGCATTATACTCCAGTAGTTTGCCCATACATTTCTTCTGGCTGAAAGAAACAGTTGGCGTTCAGATTACCAAAATGTACTCTGCTTTTAACAGAGCAATTTATTCTACTTAGTATATTTATACACCCTTCAATCAAGCACTGATTTGCCTCCCTTGCCCACACCATTTTTTTTCTTTTAAAAACAATACGAAGATAGGTCGGACCAGGAAATGAGTTTGTATAAACCAAGATAAAATGGATTTTGAAAAATGGGATTTAATTCTTCAGGATCAAGACACAGATTTATTTGAATTCTTTCTGTCTTCAAACTTTAAGAATGAAGGAATGTAAGAATGTAACTAAGAATTCAAACCCAGTTATGAGTTGTCATTTTCTTATTGATGCTGGAAAGCAGTTGTACATACAGTTTGATATTTTGATCCTTGATTAATATATTTTTATCAAAAACTATCATCTTTTTTTTTTGTTCTCAGGCAGATTCCACTCTAACAAATCACTGCTTTTCATTTTACCGTCCAAAATTTACAGTACTCCAACTGTTGTCTTTTTCTGTTTTGAGATTTAACTGTTGGACTGTATACTATAAGGTTTTTTATTTTTTTTATTTTAACAATGATAAAGGACACAGTTCATGTCAATTCTTAGATTGTACAGCAGGGGTGTAAAACTCATTTTTGTCATGGGCCACGTTGTCGCCATTGTTTCTCTTGGAGGGCCATCAAACCATATAAGGAAGTCAAAAATAATGGTTTATTCAACTATTGTTTAAGTGACTATAATGAGGGGTTTGGTAACAAGAAAATGCTGACAAGTTATCTATTACATGTGAGAATTTTAGATTTTGTAAGATTTGAGCAAGCATCAAGCATGGATGACGTTTGTTTTCACGGGCCACATAAAATGACGTGGCGGGCCAAATCTGGCCCCCGGGGTCCTTAATTTGATAGCAGTGATGTAGAGCATCCTCCTTAAATTCGGAATATTAGTATGGAGTATGAAAAATTATGGACCTAGAACTACCTATTTAACCAATAGAAGTGCCGTTAATTAAAAAAAATAAAATCTTGACCGAGGTATGAATAATCTGGCTCTTAATTATAGCTATTGTTCATCCTGGGACATCTATAAGTGAATTCACAGGACTTTCATTCAAACACCAAATGACAGACTCTTACCCATTCCTGGCAGCGAGATGCAGTGGGGTACAGCCTGAGATATCCTGGTAGTTTGGGTTGGCACCTCGCTTCAGTAGTAGAACAAGACACTCCACTGATCCACAGCTATGTCGAGACAAAAAAAATAATAATAATGTCAGCAGAAGATCAAACAAACATGAAGATTCAAAAAGCACTAAACTAATTAAAAATAGCAAATGCTAATAAAAAAAAAAAAATCTTCAATCCAGCTTGCAGTTCCTTTTCTCACACTTTTACATTCCGTTTTCGTTTCAACCTCAAACTTCCTTCTGTCAGGAAATGTCATAAAAATTTTGCTTTTTTGTAATCATGTACCAGTACTGTAAATTTACAGAATAGCATTCTATTTGAACAGTACATTGAGGCTATAGTGTAGCTCTCATGAAACATTTTCCCTAGTCTTACATTTATTAAAAAAAAAAATAATACAGGCACTTTTTGCAGGTTTTCCATTGAACAGTACTGTTTGGGTTCAGCTCTACATCAATTTGGAGTGGTCTACACTTAAAAACAGGACCACGAAAATCAAACCATAGTGAATACAGAATTTGGAACTAGGACAGTAAAAAGCAAGAAAAGAAAAGTAAAAAGGCTCACAATGGATGAACATTAATTATTTTGAAGTTTTGACACGAGGAAAGACATGGCTTCCTAGCTCCAATAAACCAAGACAAAACTCCAAAAGACTAGTATTACAGTCTCAATTTTTAATTATTACTACCGGCCTATTTAGTATCTCTGACAGGAGTAAAAGCGTTTTGGCTTCGCCCACCCAGTGTACTGTAACTACAACAGCAAAAAAACCAAAAAACGGGAACCGGAGAAAACAAAAATGAGGGGGCCCCGATTCAAACTGTGAAGATGAGAAAACTACAGACTGAGGATCTAATTTTTTAAAAAATTCAGAATAAAACACAATGCTATGATTCAAGTGTACGCCTGTACTGTTGTTGACGTTTGAATTTGCATCAATACTATGATAATAGCGTGGTAATTTTGGTCCAGATAATTGTGACGTGAAATTTTCAAAACCCTTTCATATCCACAAACTACCAGTTGTAAATCATTCGTACCAAGACGTATTGAGAATAGTATGTGCTGGGCAGTGAGAAAAGTGCAATTTGACAGAAAAAAAGAAGGTCTTACTTGGCAGCAATGTGAAGCAGGCTTCTCTTTACACGTCCAAAGGCATAGTTTACATCAAACTTAGAATTGAGTAGCAACTCTGACACTGACCTTTCGGAAGGAGGGGGGACAAAGATTTTGTTTTCTGAGGTAACAACACACTCTCGACTTCAACGTGCAGAATAAAGAGACCAAAGATGGCAAGATACTGTACAATGGAGCTATAGTGGGTAAACCTGTTATGTAACAAATGGGTTATTTTAAATGCGTCAACACAACAATAAGCTGTCGATGGATTTTATATTTGCTGAATTGCATACCTGTGTTGGTCAGCCATTACCATTGGCATTAGTGTGTACACTGCAGTTTCATTATCTGTGGACACAAAAATGAAGAAAGGAGGAGAGAATTGTAGATATGTCACTTAAAATCAGAACGATGCAAACATTGCTCTTCCAAGTTTATTTTCTGCCATGGATGACACAGTGTGACAGCATGAATCCAATCTAGGGGAGTGCTGACGATTGGTCCCCAGGTCATTTGGGGTTGTGTCGCACAGAGAGTGACATGACTTATTTTGGATCCATATGTGCCGATATCAAAAACGCTCATTTCTGCCACAAGATAGGGGTTTAAAAAAAAGCCCACACACTTGCAAAAATAAGTAAAAAAGCTCATTTAAAAAGGGGGACGGGCCAAATGAAACAGAAAAAAAGAGTCTACAGTTCCCAAGAAAAAGAAAACTCCATCCTTACAATATCAGCACGGTGCACGTTTATTGCAAGGGTATTATGCATGCATCAAATCTGCTTTGAGTAATAGGTAAAGACACTGTATGGCAGGAAGATATTGTTGAAAAGTATACGCCAATATGAGTATTTCATATCAGTCGGTGTTGATATTTATTGAATGTTAATAATGTATTTTTTTTAACTCTTCAAAGTAAGGACGCGATGGAAAAAAGGCTGAATTTAAGCTAGTATCACACTCAAGACCGTTGGCTAAGGTAGCTAATGCGCGTTCATGTCAGCGTTTGTCTTTAACATTCAAGTTCTCAAATGTCTCAAACTTCCTCCTGCTGTTTGCCAGGCATTTGCCAAAATTTAGTTTTTTCTTGTTCTGTCAATTAAGTACAGAAGAACATCTAGCAAACATTTACGACCTTGAACGAACACTGTTTTCATCACCACTCACAGACGTTCGCTCCTCAGTGGGATAAGAGCTTTCGGTAATTTTATTTTTAAGTATACTGTAGTTAACCTTTTAGTAAGAGGTCAACACAACGATGAAAAAGGCAAATTATATATTAGTCTATCAATAATTGTTTTTTTTACATTTATAAAAAAGAAAACCAATTACATTGATTAATGACTAAATTAAAACACAACTATCAAGAAAAATGCCATTCAAAATATCTTCTTTTTTTTTTCAAGGAACGTACATATATATGATGCATAATGTACAATATTGTTAACATCTATGCTCCTCCAGCAGTGCACTGTAAATGCTTATTTGTGGAGGACAAACAATACTCCAAAGCAGTATTGTTGATGCAGTTACATTAACCTTCATTTGTTGTTCATATAATGCGAACTAATACTCTCTTGGAGTGCATCCATTATAGTGCATGCATACGGCCTATTGTAGCCTTGTCAGTGTTCTGGGGCAAGATAATGAACCGCCAGTTGCTCCTGATGCTGTTGTTGTTCTTCTAGGCCAGGAACAGTTGGACGCTCAGGGCATTGCAAGTCGGCGTATTGTCATGATGAAGCCGTCACAAGTTGTCTGGCCACAACACTCCCCTCTTCTTCGACACAGAATGAAGCAAATGCCGCCAGATCTCTTTGATGATGTGTGGTGAACCTTTTCTATCACACCTCATATTTATGTTTGTTGTGAATTTTTATTTTGTCTCAATGCCAGTCCATCAAAATATGTCTCTACACGAAACTGGTCCATGGCGCAAAAAAGGTTGGAGATCGCTGGTGTCAAGGATATTTGATCAATATGATGAATGCATTAAGGTTGGTCTTACGTAGCAACTTTCTGTATCAGGTGGAGGGAGGGACAAAACAAATTGATTCATTTTTTTTTTTAATTGTGTCGAAATGATTGTTGACTCCTTGTGTCCTGAAGCAAATGAGTCAAATGTCCAACAACCGGCAGTGGCAAAGGTGATTGTGTCCCAACCAGTTTGTGGTAAAAAAGAACATTTTAGATATGGGAAATTGAGCAACGTCCAAAATGACGCCTACTATGACAAATACTGCAGACTGGATTATTTTGGTCATGAGGAGATCGCAATAGGGGCTCAGAACATTCACAGAGCTAGGAGATAAGGAAAAATCAATAACTCTAGTCAGGAATTTTCCAAAATATATCAGAACCGGGAAAACGAGTCCAAGTTTTCGAGGAAACACGTCAACAAATGTCAATCACACACTGCTTAAACTCCGATACTATTAAATATTCACACGAGCCATTTCAATAGGTGCAATAACTGTACTAGAAAAAAAAATCTGCTTTTGGAGGGACACATTTATTTTGTCTCGTCATTTGTTGCCAAAGCATAATTAATGATACTGTACAACTGGATCGGAGCACATACACTCGGCATTCATATACAGAAGAAAGCAGTAGAGTGACGTCGCTATTTCCGCCTGGTGATCATTGCCAAAGGCGCCAATGAGTGTGTTACCTTCGGGAAGTTCCACAGTCCTGGCACGGCGGAGGGAGCGGGTCAGTCGATTGAGCTGTACGTTTAGCTGCTCCATCGCCCGTTCCATCATAGGTGGGCAGTCAGCTCAGAGAAATTGCGGTGAACCACCGCGTTGCCCGATAAATTTATCTGCTCCAAATTCGAATAAGTTGTACCTGGGCGTCGCCCATGGGCGCTGCGGGGACTGGTCTTTTTCCTGATACAGTACACTGCTTTACAGTAAACTCATTATTTCCCTACTGAGCTGCCTTCCTTCACGCCAACGTTTACTGCCCAGTTCCATACTTCCTGTTATGATGACGTTTAACATTCGTAGTCTTCCCTGGGTAATGTAGTCTTTCATGGTTTCTCGGTTTAATGTTTGTGTCCGTACAGGGTTCCCAACTTCCATCCTCTCATGGCTGCCAACTTCATCAAAAATAATGATCATCATTCATACAACCAATAACTATTTATTCATGTTCCAAATTGAAGTGAAGTACATGTGGGAGCGTGCACTTCAAAATCTTACCAAACAGGTCCCTATTAATAAATGACACACAGACTAGCATATGTGGAGGTGGGATGTGGAAGTGTGTGTGTGTGTGTGTGTGTGTG